ATTAAGCCAAACAGTTAAATGGAAATAAACAAGACAACATTTGCCCAGTACACAGACATCGACACGAACCAGGTAATCGCCACCCGCTCTATAATTTAAATACGCTCGCATGGCATAGCTGATGCACATTTGTTTACGATACTTAAGCGTATGGCAATTTTCGTAATGAATATTCTAATTGGTTTTTAATTATAATACAAAGCGCGTTCCGTGTCTTGGCAATGCGAAATGGGCTAATTGCAGTTGGTAATTGCAATATTAGACGCCCCGCCCGAGCCGAGGCGATGTACTGGCCACAAGCACAACTGTGCAACAGGCGGCGTCAAATGCAGCCACCACAATTAATATGTATATACCCAGCTACTCTAACCAATAGCCAATGCCAATGGGAATGGCCGCACGCAATCGACGCATTTGTCGAGCTCGCACAGTTGCACAGTTGCACAGTTGCCCAGTTGAGCAAGGTGCAAAGGGGTAAATGGGGGGCAAAGGTGCAAAGGGGCGGCGGGGTCGGTCTATAATAATTCAATAACGGCATGCATAGTTCAACTGCAACTGGCGGTAATTGATTAAGGGCAGGGCTTTTCTCCAACTGAAACTTTAGACGAGCTGATCATGTGGCGAACTCGCATTCAGCTGTTGCGCCCAAAATAAACAATCGAACGCCGCGTGGGCGCCCATAAAGAAAGGCAGGCATCTGGCCGCATCATAAAGTTGGCATATTTATGCGACTAATTTGAAATAAAACATAAAACTCACCAAATAATATTAAGAGTCTCGTCTCCATTCGAGTCGCCACAAAGGTGAGATGCATATCAACAATTAGAAGCACGCCGGGCGCCCCATCGCCACAAGAGATTCGAGAAATTTGACGCTTTTACGAGGCAGCATAATGTCTCTCTTTGAGATACCAAATTAAAGCAATGGACACTGGTGGACATTTGAGCGCTGGAATCTGCTGAGACGAGTGAGTACTTTGCATATGAATGAGACGATGTCGTGTCAGCTGGCGCCGCGGCAACATATAATTGAGGCAATTAGAAAACATCAAAATATTGGGCCTGGCCATTGGAAAATTGTTAAATAAATAAATGCTAACAAATTTTGATCTTAATTAAGCACTTGAGCGCTTAGCTGAATGTTTATGTAGAGTCTGGACGGACAACAACCTGGCTCTGGCTCTGGCCCGTCTCTGACAATGCAATTAAAGCCGACTCTCAAGCGCTGAGCAATGACAAGGCGAAATTCAATTTCGAGTTGAATTCGGCTGGAAGGGAGGTACATAGGTAGCTGGAGCCAACGCCCACCAAATATAATCATTCAATTAAAACGCTTAGGAATTATTATTATGACAAACAAATGTCGAGAGTTTTAAATTGATGCCAATCTCGCCCAACGACCAACGGCAGGAAGTCGAAAGCGGCCCAAAATTACAAGCAATTGAATGAATATGATCAATATCTAACTCTCTTGGGCCAACGGGCGGAAGTGAATTGAAAAGTTAACAAGCGTGGCGGCCATCGGCAAAATGGTCGTTTGCTTGCTCAGCAAGTTCGTTGCCTAAGTCTTTCGTTTAGACAAATGCCCAACATGGACTTTAAATTAATTACTTAATTTAACACAACACGCGGCCCAGCAACACCTCCAATGTCATCCCAAACGACGACGACAACACAAAGCACTAACATTGACAATTTGAATGCAGGCGCGAAACCTGTTGCGAGATCGATGCGACGAGCTGCGATCCTGAAGAGTGGAGGACTGGGCTGTAGATGGGGGCCATAACAGATTAGTTAGCATATCCCATATCAGGGTAATTATTGTTAAATGAGATAACGATCTTGTACTGCGTTGACATTTATTTATTTTCCTTAATTTCGCCGTATTAATCTTCCTGGAAACACGCATTAAACACAGCGCAGAAATCAGACAAAAACAACAAGAAGAAGAAGAAGACGACACCTCGTTGTGGCACGTCCCGATCTGGTGTGTGTGTGTGTTCGTAATGATCATTAGCGGACCATGAAAATCAACAGCATCAATTTGGCTTTATTGGCAATGCAACGGAACGAGCACTCGGCCAAGTTTTTCGTGCCGTCTTTTGACAATTTGCATCGTGCAGGCAATCGATCAATAAGCCTCAAAGTCCGGCTAATTAATACAATATGTAAGCATCGGTATTATCAGCGCGAGCTCATCAGCATCAAAATGCTTGGCAATTAAACGAACACGTTAACAACGGCAAACGGCAAACACTAGATACAGCTGGTTAGATTTTTCGGGCGAAACTCAATTAAAGCCAGACAAGCAAAAATCAAAGCAACAACAATCACAATCACAACTACAACTACAACTACAACTATGGGCAGCAAAAAATAACAAAATACAAAAACAAAAACACAACCCACAACCAAAAAAAGACGCAGCTAATTTAACCAAATTGGATTACTTAATAAGTTTATTGGATAAATAACTTGGCCGCAACAACAACAACAACAACAACGAAGCATAAAGTGAATGTTTTTTGTTGTAGCTGGTTTTTTTTTTTGGGGCGCGCCACAAACCTTTTGTGGCAGCATTCAAAATAAGCCACGGGGCAAAACAAGTTGTATATAAAAATTGTGAGCTAATTTCTGAGAATTATCCAAAAAAAGACCCCCTCCCCCCACTGCCCCCTTTACGCACCGCGTGTCTCTCTCTCCGTCTAATGTGTTTGTTGTTCTACAGAAACATTTGAAATGATATCGTTAGGAAAACAAGGCTAAAGATAAGCCGCAATAACAAAATGCCAGGCCAGGCCAGGCCAGGCCAGGCCAGCAGCAGGCAGCAGGCTCCACATCAAGTGGGCGTCGTAATTTATTATTAATTATAGTCAACATTTTGATAGACAACAGTCAGAGGAGCGAAATACCAAAGAGTGCCAGCACCTACTACCTATCTAGGGATCAAATGTGCGTGCTGCTAGGCAAACACACGCCTCGGTGTACTTAAATTGTTGTTGGCCTTATAACTAAATGCGATTTGTATCTGTAGCTGGCTCGCAGGGTTTGAATTGTTGAGCTTTTGACACTGATTTATGCATGAGCTTAGATACATTGTGTACTTTGCTGCGTCCGACTAGTTGGCTAGTCGGTTATTCAACCAAATCATAGACCATAGACAGGCGGCCGCAATTTAGTGCTGTTAACAGCTAGTAATTAGGCCCGATTTGCCTGTTAATTAGCCCATATCAATTGGCCCCGGCCAAGTTGCAGCCTGCAGTTGGCAATCGCATATTCATGAGATTCTCTGAGAATCTGTCGCGATTGTCGATCTGTCGCGATTGGCGCATAAATTTTGATTTAAACAATCATTAGCACACCTCAAGCAAAAGTGCCGCGATGCCATTTCGCACTAAACCAGTTTGGGCATATACCCCATACCCCCACCACCTGCCCCACCTGCACCACCTGCGCCACCTGCACCACCCCCAAAAGCGCCCCAAAGCAATCGTCTTTTGATCTCAGTTGCGCTGGCGCTCAATTAAATTCCTACAATAAAACACGATTTGCATTTTAAATTGTGCAATTAAAATGCTTATGAAATCTATAAAAAATCGCTAAATGCATTTTACGAACACCTAATGAAAAAACAACAGCAAAGTAATGCCAAATGTCACACGTTAATTAATTAGCAGCCAAATGGATGATGACACTAGAGTCTCTAGATACAGTGAAAACTCGCTGCATGAACAGGGCGGGAGCTGATCAATAAATTGTACCAAGATATATATATATATCTCCTTATGGCCGGCGCCTTTCTAAGTAAAAGCTGCGAAAGTTCAAGGTGATTTTTCTTAATCTTTGGCAAAGTGCCAATTTCATTATTTAGCCCCTCTCTTTTGCAACGAATTGTAGTTAGTTTGAAAATTATGTAAATGTGTCTTGAAAGGAAAAAAAAACCACTTTAAAAGAAACAATGCTTAAATATTTTGGCCGTCGGCTGTTTAGCAAAAAGGCAGCTTAAATCGAGACGCTAAGCCAAGGCAAATGAAAAATGGGAACTTATTTTTATAATGTCGGAGAAATGGGCGAAAATAGAAAAGATAATAAATAAATGTTGGACACGCAAATATAAATATATATGATGTCACGCCTTTTGGCCAAAAAATATCAGGCAAAATAATTAATTGCCAGATTTTCGCCAAATTGTATTTTGCACTTTCAAATTTGTCGCCCCAATTCAAAAGTTAATTTGTTTTAATATTTTTATTCTTGCATAAGAATATTTTGTATATTTTATATATGAATATTTTTCAAGCATTTTCTCTTTACTTAACAACTAAAACTAACAACTAAGACAACTAAAAGTTCTTGATAGCGATATTAGCATAAACGAATAATGCCCGTTATGGCATTTAGATAAATACAGTTATTAACATAAAACTAGTTATAAATAAATGCGTAATTGATGTACAGGAATTACAGAGTACCGACGAGTTCAAATGTGCAAGAAATTCGCTAATTTAATTTATTTACTTATCTCTCTCTCTCTCTCTCTTTCTTTCTCTATAATATTTACACGCTTAAACAATTAAAATTTGTACAATTGTTTCTCTCGCTCTCTCTCGCTCATTCTCCTTCTCTATTTGCAGTTTCTCTTGCGGTTTTTTCATTGTGAGCTCAACTCAACTCGGGACAAAGGGCGCAACTCACCCGCCCGCCCGCCTTTGATTTGGCACTGTGTTTTTGGGGGCGTGGCCAGTGGACGCACTTCGCCTCGTACTTAATACTTTTGTAGGAAGTGTTTTTTCTTTTTCTTTCTTTCGATAGATGAGAGTCGCTTCTATATACACTAAGCCTGGCGCTTTTCATTTTAAGAATATATCACAAATAATTAATTTTAAGAGCTCACACACACTCATATACACACACGCACACACACAGGCACACGCACAACGCTCAGCAAATTTGGGCGCTTCTTTAGTAAGGAACTCACATACGCACGATTGCGGGGCGGGACAGCTGGGCAGCCTAATGACTCGCATCTAGATCATGCTCATCATCGCTGGCGCAATCGTCCATTTCCATGTCGATGAGCTCGTCGTCGTCCTCGTCGCCGCTGCCGTTGTGCATGTTGCGCTCGGAGCCGGAGCCGCCGCCTCCCTTCTCGTCCTCCTGCTGCATGCGTTTGTGCTTGGTGCGGCGATTCTGGAACCAGACTTTCACCTGCGTCTCGGAGAGATTGAGCGACTGGGCGAGCGCCTTACGCTCCGCTCCGACCACATACTGATTGCTCTCGAAGGCGTGCTCCAGCTTGAGCAGCTGCGACGGCGAGAAGGCGGTGCGAATGCGCTTCGGCTTGCGAAACGGTTGCAAGAGGAAATCTGGAAGGAGCAAGCAGAGATCGGGCCGGTTAGCCAAACGCACAAGCAAACAAGGCTGATTAGTGTGTACTTACTTCCAGGGAAGCGGTGCGGAAAGATGCGTCCGTGGCGGCTGAGCAGCCACGGGTAGAGCGGGTAGCTGTCGCGCGGCATGCCCGGATTGCCCATGAAGGAGGCGGCGGCGTGCGGGGGCAGGCCAGCCGCTGCAGCGGCAGCGGCCGCTGGACCCAGCACATGTCCGGCCTGCAGCGCGGCGGCCATTTGGAACTGGGCGGCGGCAATCAGATGCGGATTGTGCTGCGGTGCCAGCTCCGGCGGCGTGTTGATGTAGGGCGGCAGCGCCTTGATGTCCGGCATGCCCGGCTGGCCTTGCGGCGGCGCTGGACCGCCTGGGCCCATCGGAAAGGGTCGCATCAAGCCGGCGGGCGGCATGCCTTGCATCATGAGCGGGTTGGGACCAGGGCCGCCGGCTGGATGCATTACAGGTGGCTTCGGGTAGTTGGGCGGCTGCTGTTGCTGCTGCTGCTGCTGCTGCTGCTGATGAGGCGGTGTATTGTGCGGACTGCTGACCAGCAAGGTGGGCGAGCAGGAAGGCTGCGAGGATTGCGGCGAGACTGACTTGGGCGGCGTGTGCGGCGGCTGAATGCGCTGGGCTGGATTCTCGGCCTGCTCCGAGCCAGGTGGTGCTGGTGAACGCTCGCGCTTAAGGGAAACAGCAACGGGCGTGGACGTGACATCCCCCAGCGGGGAGAGGCGTGTCTGCAGAGGACTGAGGCCGTTGGCCATGGCGGCATTGTGATGCAGACGCTGCAGCAGCTCCTGTATATCATGATGGGACTTTGGTGTGCCCTGCTGCTGTTGGTGGAGCAGCAGATGCTGATGCAGTGCATGCTGTTGGGCTGGCGACAGATGTGGATGGGGATGCGCGTGTGGATGCGGTGCCATGTGCGGTGGCAGCACGTGGTTGGCATGATGTGTTGGCGGTGCCATCAGATGATGCGGCGGTGTGGGCGTGGCAGGCAGCATGGTGAGTGCAGCGGGCGGCGTCTGAGGCGGACTGCCGGGCCCATTGCGATCCGGCTGAGGGCTGCCGGCTGAGAGCTGCTGCTCGGGATTGCCTCCAGCGGCAGTCGCCGTCGCATCGTTGCCAACAATCGAGTCGATGCTGAAGCCGATCTTCTGCTTGGGCGTGGGCAACATGACGGCTGAGGTGGGTACCGGCGGAATCATTTTAGTCATAAATACGCGCGTTGTTTGTGCGGGCGAGGCGGCGATTAGTTCGGCTATTTTGGAGGCTTTTGTCTTTGAAACTGTCTCTCAGTTAATCCTTGAGTAATCAGTTGCCACTGTTTTCTACACTTGCTGCGACATTTAGGCGCTTCACAACACTTAACACACTTGCACTTGGCTTTTTGGCTGACAACCCTTTTAACAGTTGCGGGCGACGGGCAAGTAAACAACTTTCTAGCGTGGGGCTGGGGGCAAAGTGTCAAAAAACGTTTGTAGTTTTGCGATCGACGCGCTCGTAACGTGTTCACTCGACGACGTTCACAGTCTGAATAATCGAGAGAAGCGGCGCAGCGGCACCAAGTGTACGCAGTGGGAATTATGCACGACACACGACAATACGCTCGCGCTCTCGCTCTCGCTCTCTCACTCTCTCCCTCTCTCGCTGGCTGACTTTGTCTGTCTGTCTCTCGCTATCCACAAAACACGTCAAACCGGTCTGCACTGGCGCGTCACGGTTGCTGCTTGTTGCTGTTGCCGTTATTGTTATTGTTGCTCGCGCTGTGCGCCAGAGCGAGAGCACATGAGCAGAGCAGAGAGTCGCACTGACCAATGAGCGTTGGCCGTGCGCTTGCCATTGCACTCTCGCCTTCTTGTGGATTTTATCTGGCCACGCCATGCTGTCTCATTATCTGACCGGATCAGCTGCACATGGAGAGGCGTACACAATTTAATTCGCTACGTTGTATTTGTGTTTGCATTTGTAGTTGTATTTGTATTTACATTTGTGTTTGTGTGTTTCTGCATATGGCTTCCGTTGATTTCTTCAGTCCGAGGTGGTGGCTGTGGTTGTTGTTGTTGCTGCTGCTTTTGTTGGCATTGTGGCTGTCTCTTTGTAATTTGGCTTAAACTGCCATTCATAGTTTTTGTGGTTAGATTTTCATGCTTTTATTTTGTTTGGAAAACAAGCGAAATGTGGAAAATGCTTTAAATCGGACATGTGCTATGGCTAAGTTGCTGCGCCTCAGTAGTTGCGGTAACATAAATGTTATTATATTCCTGTTTGCAACATGGTTACTTTTTATACACTATAACTATATATGGGACTAGCAAGAGTTGACTCACATTATAAGGTTTAAGCAGTTCGAAATAAGGAACATATGATACGATATATAAGTATACTTAATTAGCATCAGCAATTTATTTGTCTTTAATCAATTGATTAATTAAATTTAAAATTATAAGAGGCACTGAATTTTCTAGGTATTCCAAAAATTACATATATAGCAATCAAACACAAGAATAATTTAGGAATATCTATTGTTTTACTTTTATTGACATATATAAAAGCTTAAATGTTTCCAATACTCAATATTTCAACGGCAGCAATAATAATATAAATATTAATTATTAGTTAAAGGATCATATTTTAAAATGCTTTTAATTAATTTATAAATATGTACATAATATGTAACACTTTTGTGTTTATCGTCTTTGGAGCTCAGCGCATTATAAAAATCCTAAATATTTGTTCAATCTTTTGAAGCTTTTCATTTGATTCCCCTTTGCATTTGATTTGCATGCCGCCCTGTTGACTTTGAGGTTACACTCTGAATGCTGATTTCTGTTTGAACTTTGTTCGATTCAAATGGCTATATTGGACAACTTTCCAGGCGACTAGCTGGGGCTGTCATGCGCGAAGACTGAATAGAATCAATTCGATTATTAATTCCGCACCACAAATGCACTTCAAAGTTGCCCTGGCGCTAATAAATCAAACCCGCCGCACATTTGCTGCGACAGTTTTATATAGAGAGCATAACGCTTACAATTTAGATGTTAATTTTTAATGAATATTTTTGAATTTTTGTTCGTTTTGGCACAAGACAAACTTTGCATAGTTTATGCGCGATCGCAATCAAAATCCAAAATCAGAGCAGAAGCCGCAGAAATTCGAAATTGTCGAGGCGCACATTTGTTTTATTTTTAGATCAAGGCGCAAATATCAATTAGTAATCAGTGAATAATTCAAACAAATAATTTTCACACTTTTTGCCTAGCCTGGGTTCAGTTTGTATTTTTGTATTATGTGGAGCCGATTGTTTGCCGGGGTTATCAGTTCCGGGGCAGCGCACGCAATTTATGACTTTCGAAATAAACAAAATTTGAAAATCGTTTTATTCTGCTGCCAGATTAAAATCAATTTTATGGCCAGCTAATTAAGTCAACTGTCTGCCATGGCACATTGTCTGCCCTGCCCGGGCAGACCCATAAAGGCGTAATTACGCCGCCTAATGGGCTTTATATACAAGAAGAAAAAAAAACAATGATGGAAAGTTCAGAGTGCGGCCTTTAATTGCCAAAACGTGGCAACAAATTGCCATAATGTGAAAGCTTAGTCAGACAAAATCAGACAAAATCTTTTCTCACATTGGTAATTTTGCAATTAGCCAAATGGAGAAAAACATCAAGTGCATCAATTCACACGCCCACTGCGGGACATCGAGGACATCGACTAGAAAAGGGCAACTGGACGGCCAGGACGAGTGCCTGCCTGCCCGCTCACCGCAGGATCGGCGCAACAATTGTCCTGTTAATGAGCAAATAAAGATATCTGCATGACCAGCAGCAGCAGCATCAGCAGCATCAGCTAAATAGATGTCCGACTAACCAGCTGTCTGGCCCCGAGCATTAACACCCCCGCTGGGCAAACAATTGAGCAGAGTTTACACAGTGCTCGACCCTGAGATACCCTACAGTAAGGTCAATGTGTTTAACTCAACTCAAATTCTATTCTATTTGGCTATAAGAGTTAAAGAAGATCGTGGAGAACAGGTCGATTAGGTATATATTTGATATAGTTTAAAAACCCTTTAGCCACAAATGCCTTGTCCCGCAGCTCACAGAAGATCTTCCAGCTACAAAAACTTTTCATATGGTTCAGATCACAGGTTAAGTATTAAAATAAGAAGAAGATCTTCCAGCTACAAACACTTTTCAAAAGGTTCAGATCACAGTATATATGTATATATATTAAAAAACTGATAAATTAACGACTTGTGAATTGAGCGAAACCAAACTAACCCTAGCTTACAGGGTATCAGCTCACGCGGAAAGTTCGCAAAAGGCGCTTCTGTGACTGCAAATGAAAACCATAAAAAATGCGAGACAAGGGCCAACAACAACAACAACAACAAGGGATCAGGCACACACACACAAAAAACGTATTTATTAGATGGAAATAAATCGAAAGCAGCCCCCGAGAGAGAGAGGGAGAGAGAGAGAGGGGGAATGAGGAGAGGAGCACAATGCTGGGCCCGTCCGAAAGGTGTCAAAATCAACAATTTTCGAGCTGCAAACAATTCCACAGAAAACAAGGCGCACAGCATGATGCAATTTTTGCCCCGCACGCTCTCAGCCTCCCTCCTGCCCTTCCTCTCGAGCCGATCTAACAATTTTTCGGCTGAAATGATGAAGAAGGAAGGAAAAAAAAAGTGAAATAAAATAGAAACAACAAGAGTTTCACTTTTGCTTGAAAAAAACAAAAAAAAAAAAACAATGAAAAACGTGGCAAATTTCCCTTTGTTTAATTTAGTGGCAAGAAATTTGTTGAGAGCCAACGAAAATGGTCGAAACGAAAAAAAAAATTGACTTTAATGATGATGAGTTGCCGATTAGAAGAACGCCTCGAGCTGCGCCGAGCTGCTCACTATGAATTCATTCGAATTGTGTGTGTGCGTGTAATTTTTCCATGTTTTCTCTATTTTCTATTTTCCGTTGACGTTTTGTCTTTTTACGCTGAAAATGGCACAATTATATGGAAATCTCAATATGGCACTTACCCACTGTGCCTGGCATTTAAATGTAATTAATTTACGAAGTCTTGATTGCAATTGAGGCTGTTTCCAGGAATTTCCAGTCAGATCTATCAATTTCACAGTTCTCATAATAAGTTCGTTTTCCCGACGATCCTCTCATAATTCGAACGCTTCTAAATCCACGCGGCACACAGAATTATGATGGATGATATTGCGGCTGCATTTTCACGCTTGAAAAGGGAAACGGGGAACGGGGAACGGGCAAGGGGCAAGGGGAAGGGGGACGGGCCAAATAGTAGCCGAGAAAAACTCGAAGCTGACAGCGCTTCCAGTTGAAATGATGATAAGCATGAGAGGATCACTCCAGAAGCGGGGGCGCTCGCGTGTGTAGAAGGGGTGGATCAAGCAACTGGACAGACAGCGCTCGAGGCGCGTCTCGAGTTCCCAGGAAAACCCATTACAAGGTAAATGAAAACGCCAAGGGCCAAGGATCAGCATATGCATTTGATATTTCGAGCACGCCGCCCAGAACGAGGCCAATCAAGAGGAAAAGAGAAGAGAGAGAGAGAAAAATAACTACAATGGCCATAAAATCATATTAAAACACAATTTTTGGTCAACAAGCGAGCGTTAAGGAGGGGGGGCAAAACGACATAAAACATTTATATCTAATCCTGGACAATCATAAAAATCACCGAAACGACATGACAACGATAACGACAATGGAAAATGTGGAAAATGGGAAATGCTACGGAGCTGTCAGCAGCGGCAAACATTGCTTTAAATTGTCGGAAAAGTGCTCAACTACGAGCAGCAGCAGCAGCAGCAGCAGCAAAAAGATCTAAGGGAAAACAGTAGTCAGAGAAAATGTCATAAAAATGTCTAGCTCCGGCTCCCACTTTTCACTATTCACTTTTCCCCCCCGCTGCCCCCGCCCCGTTCTCCTTTTCGATTCGTCGGGTACGTGTGCAAAACATTCTACACTATTCAAGAACCTGGCATTTTTATGACACTTTCCGTAACGGGAAAGGACTAGCCCTAGCCCTTTCCCTGCCCCTATCCCTGACCCTAGCCCTTAACCTAAACCCGTTGCCATCCTTTCGGCCAGCCGAATAACAATGACAACAACAAGAACAACAAACTGCTTATAAAGAGGAAAATCTTAGTTGCTGAAAAATAAAATCAACGTAATTTTTATAGCTTTTCACCGCTACTTTTTAGTAGTTTTCCCCTGCTCCGCTTACTCCCCTTTTTTGACACTTTGCCACGTTTTTATTTCGGGCTGACAGGCACTTTTGTCCGTGTGTCATTATCGTTTGCCCTTATCCGTTTAGTTTTGACTTTATCTTCCAGTCGAATTTATGAACCGGCGGCATAAGACAAACAACTAGAAATTTTGATCAAGCGTGGATAAGATCACGATTAATATAGTTAGTCAGAAATTGCGGGCTTGTCTAGGATTAAGTTATATTAATATTAAGGGTTAGTTTAGTTCTTAGTAAGATTTTCAACTCGAATGC